TTGGATTTGAAAGGAAATATCGCGAGGTTCGACATGTCCGAACAACGTCTGAACGTGAGTTACAAGTGCTTCCGATGGAGGCGTGTCCGAAAAGGTTATATAAGAGAGCACTACTTGTTCAAGGTGAAGGGGCTCGATGAGCTTTTCGGGGCGTTTGCCTTCGGAGATGAGCGCAAGGTGAGGGTCTATAGGCTCTTGGAGGATTCGATGAGATGGGATTTGGTGAAGGATTTCGGGAACAAAGTGTTGTACCTAAGCTCCTTCTCGTCATTTGGGTACACGGCTTGTACGGAAGCCACGGCTAACACGATCCGGTTGCCCAAATTTTATGGTGGGAATGCTATTTTCTACTCTTTGAGGGACAGGAAGTTTCATTCGGATGACGGAAGATATTCGTGCGAAGATGCGCTTTGCCTTACGAGATTGGATTTTGCCACGTGGGTGATGCCGATCATCCCGACAAATGACCTAATTACAACGAAGTGGATTTGAATTTTTATTCATTGTTTTTGTTTTAGTTTTCTAATAATCCTTAGAAAATATATTATTGTTTTTGTTTTTGTTTTTTAACTAGTGTGTATCTCGTGCGATGCACAATGAACTTGTTTCTTAAAATATTTTTTAAAACTTTATTTTAATAATATGTTAGCTTGGTAACTGTTTATATCGATAAATACTATTTTAATATCTATATTTATTTTTTGATATAAACAAAATAATATTTTTACTTATATTTGTTCATCATAATACTCCACTATTATTTTTTTAAAAAATTATGGTCGCATGATGTCATTATTATTATTATTATTATTATTATTATTATTATAAATATATTTTTGTAAATCATGATATGTAATCATAAAGATTTTAATTAAAAAGTATCTATTTTTATTGTTAAATCTATTGTGCTTAAAATAAAAATGTGAAGGATTAACACATTATTTTATTGTAATTACTTATACCAAATATATTATCCCCCTATATATTAATACAGAATGCGCTGAGCTTACGTGGCTGTTTCTGGTGCTTCGGAATCCTATGTGGCAAAATTACATGCTTCGTTATTATGCTTGGGTAAATTTTAATTTAATTCCAAACCAAAAATAATTAGGTTCGGATTACCATAAATATGTTGATTATTTATGGTCATGTTACATGTATTAATTGTATTTAAATATCATTCCTTATTATAACTATTGAATTGTATATATATATATATATTATAAAAGTTAATAACTTTTGTATTTTTTTATCAATTTAAATATGTAATATATCAAATTAATCTTCTTTTGATAAGCTTCGATTTAACATCCATAT